ACTTCCATAGTGATATTGCCTCAGAAACCCAAGGAGGGGTCGCTATGAGTTGGGTCCGACTCCACGGCATATTACAACAACAAGAAGTATCATCCTTAATCTTCACTTCATCCTAAATAGGGCTGAGTCATCCACTCTGCCACCTGCCCACCTCTGTGCTCCATATGTCCCTGTAACCAGCCGCTCCGGGAGGCAATTAAGATATAAACCAGGCCCAGGCCTGGTCGTCCCTGCCCATCTAGAGAAGAGACAGATACACATGCCACTGGTGAGTAAAGGGAGAGGCCTCTTGGCAAGGGATGCTGGAGCATTCTAAGGGACCGTCAAAGTCTTGTTTTTGCACCCTCCTCAATGCCTCCTTCTCCCCCATTCAATATCATTCCAGGAGCTCTGACCTCTTGCTCCCCACCCCTGACCCATCTCCGGCTGTGCCCCCACCTCCTCTGTACCCCTCATCTCCTGTGGTCCTGGCAGCACTGCCCAGAAGAGGGGACAATAGGCAGGAAGGAATTCCTTTCTCTCCACATTCCTCAGATCAATATGACTCATCCACCACTCAGAGAACATCCAACAGCTGTCTGCTTACTAAGCATTTGATAAAATGTTGTTCAATAAGAAAAAAAAAAAAAACCAACTAAATTAAAAATAATCCCAGCAGAGGACTCAAATATCCAATCTTCTTTCCAGTTCATAAATCACACAAACATTGGAGTTTGCTCTTTGCACAAGCAGTGAATCACACAACCCATCAGGTTCCCACTCAGACAATCATATCTTTTATTTCTCTCAAAACTAAATAAATGCTTCACTTTGAGTCTCCTTGTTTCCCGCTTTGGATTCAACTCGCCATTTGGCGCCTGCCCAGACCCTGTTTTATTGTTGTTTTCCACCATGGCTTAATCGCCAGCTGAACAGTGACAGGTTGGAACAAGCGCCCCTGAATTCCATCTTGCCTTTCCTTGGCTGCTCAGAATTCTCTTTGAAAGGCATGGTCATTATTTAAGAGCCATCTGATAGGACACAAAAGGAGATGTCACACAGGCTGCCAAGCTAGACACAATACTGCCAAGGTCTGTGCCCCAGAGGAAGTGCACAGGGCAATGCACACAGACGGTCTGTGAGCTCTGACAGCCACAAGTTTCATGAGGGGATCGGACGTCTTGAGTGAGCTGAGTCCTCAGCAGGGAACACGGGAATGATAGCTACCTTCTCTGCTCAAAGTAAAAGGACGAGCTAGGAAAATAAAGTTGTGGTGATGGATACACATACATACAAGCATACGAAAAAACACTGAATTGTATACCTTAAATGGGTAAACTGTATGTTATGTGGGTATCTCAATAAAGCTGCTTTTTTTTTTAAGAAGAATCCGCTATGACTCACCTGGGCCAGAAGTGGGGCTTGAAGGTGTCCGAGGATAATGAAAGCTTTGGGCAATGGCCCAAGATGTGGCCATAACCCAGCTAGCAGGCCACAAATGGCGGGGTAAAATGGCAGTCGGTCCACTCTCCTGCTGAGAGGAAGGGTCCTGCGCCCCCATGCCCATGCCTACACCCCAAGCCACTTCACCTAAAGCAGACGGCAGTGGAGCTTGTTGCTCAGAAACACCGTGGCCTCTATCCCCTTTTGAGTCACCTGCTAGCCCCATCCCCCAAGCCTTGCCATCCAGCTGGAGGGGTTTCCTCTCTGCTGACTCCCTCTACACCAGCAGGAAGGTCTCATCAAGCCACCCAGCCCCTGAGAGCACAGGGTTGGAAGCCAGTCGGAGGGAACACAGGGCTCTGAAGGCTTCCGGACAAATTCCAAAGGCCCCCAAACAACATGCTGTCTGGTCACCAGGCCCCAAGCTCGGCCAAGTTGCCCTTCTAGGGGTTTGCTGCCAGTCTCCCTATCCCTTGTCTTTTGTCTCTAACATCCCCAACCTGGTCCCCACTGTCACTTTCTCCTTTCCTGTCCCTCAAAGTACCCATTCTTGTTAACCTTTGGAGTTGCTGCAGCCCCCTGGCATCCTCTGACCCTCAACAGAAAGAATCTCCCAAGCAGGCCCAGCTCAGAGTCCGAGTTAGTCAACTCTGGCCGTTTGGACTAAATAGACTGCAGCTGCCCTCCGTCAGGGGGAAGGGAAGGAGAGGGAAGACAGGCAGAGGTCTTTTAAGGCTCCAGGTTCTTAGGACTTACTCATTTCCTTCCACAATGGGTGGGTTCACTAGCCAGAGGTTATATCTGGTTCACATTTCACTGAAGCTTTATTACCTATTGCTCTGAGCCTAGCCTCAGGCCTGGTTTTACCAGAAGCCACCCTGACTTACCGGCCAGGACCAGGACTCCTTCTCTGTTCCTAAAGCCCCCATCCTTGTTTTCCATTTTCCAGCTGAGGAACAGCCATAGCTCTCAGCTATTGGTCATGCAGAGATGAGTGACACAGCCTGTGTCCAATGAAGAATTAAGCCCTCTTAGCTCAGGCTGCCTGGAGCTCTGGTAGCATAGTGCCTAAGGCACTCGACTGCTAACCAGAAGGCTGGCGGTTCAAATCCACCAGCCACTCCTGCAAGGAAGATGGGGAATCTACTTCTGTAGTGATACTGCCCCGGAAACCCAAGGAGGAGTCGCTATGAGTCGGGTCCGACGTAACAACAACAACAACAGCTCAGGCTGCCATTTCTTCTCAGGAGCTCTCCAGGAGCAGCTGAAGGAAAACTAGAGCGGGTTCATGTGGGGGTTCTAGGAATCCCCCAAACCAAGCAGGGAAGTATGCCCACATAGAGGGCCTAAAAGGGGACCAGGTCACCTAATCAGGGCTTGGGAAGAAACTGGGGTTTCGTGTGCAAAGCCTCTTGGCCAAGCCTGGCTCAGAGTGGCCCCTGTCAGCTCCATGTGGAATCTGCTCTATACAAGCTCACGTTCTTAGTTTTTGCATTTGACCTTCCTTTTGTTCTTCAAGGAGTCCTAGTAGCACAGTAGTTAAGCGCTCAGCCGCTAACCAAAAGGTCAGCGGTTCAAACCCACCAGCCACTCCACAGGAGAGGTGTTCACAGACTGCTTCCATAATGATTAAAAAAACAAACTCACTGCCATTGAGTTGGATCTGACTCCTAGCAACCCCTCCTTAGGGGTGTTGTTGTTGTTGTTACGTGCCATCGAGTCAAACAACATCCTTAGGGGTAGAGCCTTGTAAACCCTATTCAACAGTTCTATGTGTCCTATAGGGTCACTATGAGGCTGTGATGATAGTAGTTTGGGGTTTTGGTTTGTTCTTTGGCAAAGTTCCTTTGAAATTCCACTTAGTCTTGGCCAATCTAAGGGAAAGAGATCTTGTCCTCACATAAGCCAAAGGAGTCAGTCAGAGACCTGCTGTAGTTGGAGGCCACCCAGGCACCGGAGACCAAGGGAGCCAGGGCAACTGAGATGAAATGTCTAAACTTGGATGATCTTCCAGGACAGCTGGAAGGGCTTGTCTCTTCCTTATGAAAAAACAGCCTTACGGTGGTCTGTCCCCTCCTTCCTGACCAGCTTTGGGACACTAGCCTGAACATGTGGGAAGAAAATGGAAGAGTGAGGAAAATGGGTGGAGTAAACAGGGTAGAACTGTGGGTATCCCCAGCTCTTGATGCTCAGAGATGCCCAAGGCTGTAGCAGCCCACAGAACCTCTCTGGCCCCATTTGCTCTCTAAAACAAACAAAAACACACTCACTGCCACTGAGTCGATTCCAACTCATAGTGACCCCTCCTTGGGTTTCCGAGGCAGTATCACTACAGAAGTAGACTGCCCAGTCATCCTCGTGAGGAATGGCTGGTGGGTTTGAACCGCCAGCTTTCTGGCTAGCAGTCAAATACCTTAGGCACTGCGCCACCAGAGCTCCCTTGCTCCCTAATCCACTGCTGTGGAATCGAACCTGACTCGTAGCTATCCCTCCTTGATGCTACCTTCTAAGGTAGTATCACTATGGAAATAGATTGCCCAGTCTTCCTTCTGAGGAGTGGCTGGTGGGCTCCAGTTAGCAGTCAAATGCCTTAGGCACCATGCTACCAGAGCTCCCTAAGGAAGAGCTGAATTCACTTGAATAGGATCTTTGACCACTGTGGATCCAGCAGATGGCAGTGCTACCCCTGCCCAACTGGAACAAAGCCTGCAGTGTGTGAAAGCAGTCACCAGAGGGCAACGTAGGGACAACCCATCCAGCTCACTGCTAGTTGCCTAGCAACTGTGACGCAATTAGATCCTTACCCTCCTCAAGGCCTCTCAGGTTATTTCTGGTAAAAGAGACTTTTGCACAAGGAGTGGCCTCAGGAATCCCAGAACTGCCTTTCTTAAGCCAGAAAGATCTAAAACAATCCAGAGACCCCAAATACACCACCACCCTGGTGTCTAGGCAACTGGGCTACTAACTCCATTCTGTGGCATGCCAGCGATCAGAAGGGCATAAACATGTCCCATTCTGCTCTGTACTCCCACACCCTCGGAGACCACTTCCCTAGTGGCTGAGGCAGAGCAGCCTCCTCTCCCGCTGTCTCCCCCCACACCCCTCTTCCCTTTACTGAGCCCAGCCTGGATCAACAGGCACGTGACCTTGAGCAAGACCTTGGGTCTCCCTCTTCTCAGCTATACTTGAGGTGACTAGAGAGGGTGATGATAAGGCCCAGTTCTGACCTTCTGTGGTCTCTGATTCTCTCCCTTCCCCCGAAGGGCTGTGTCCTTGCCCCAAACCTCTCCCTGGTTTTGATGACCCTGAGAAGAAAATTCTTCCAATTCTTCCAATTCCAAATGGGTAAGTGTGACCAGAGAAACCAGAGATGCAATCAAGAAAGTGAGGCAGACACAAGACAAGTGTGGTTGTAATGAGCTCAAAGCCGGTGCTGGTCTGGTCTATGTGTGGCCTGGGTCAGAACCCCAGGCAGAGTCAAAGGGCCTCTGTGGCTGTGGCGACAGGCGTGATTCCAGGCACATCCCCTGGCTCTGACGGAGGCTCGGGGTCAGATCACCAAGGTGCAGGGCTCTGGGAGGGCCACCATCTTGGACGCTCAGACAGGCATGTGCAACTCATTGTACTCATCCTGGCCGTCCTCGTCGAAGTTTGGTTCCGCATCTTCCGAGTCCAGCTGCAAAAGGGAGCAGAAGAGTGGGCGAGGCAGGGAAGCAACGCCGGCTCGTGCCGTCCCCAGCTTCCTCCAACCAGCAAGCAGCCCCCACTGTTGGCAAGGACTGTGAACCCAGGTCCAGTTTCTCATTTCCTTCTGGCCAAGACCTTAGGTCACCCCCAGGCCCCTGACACCTCCTCCTGGTAATTAATAATGAGAACAAACAAACCAAAAAAACACAGGTGCCATCAGTCGACTTCAATTCATGGTGACCCCATGTATGTAACAGAAGAATCACACCCCATAGGGTTTTCATGGCCTGTGACCACTAGGCCTGTCCTCTGATGGTCTCAGAGGGTGGATTCAAACTGCCAACCTTAGGGTTAAGGTTGTAGCTGAGTACCCAGCCATTTGCACCATCCAGGACTCCTACTAATGAGAGTAGCCACCACATACCAAGTGCTTTCCTGGGGCCACTTCTAGTTCCCAAGGCACCTTGGTATACCTCATTTAGGCAGACGTATTGCCCCAAAAAAAAGTCCCAGCTGACAAAAGCAGTGCTCAGGCTGGATGTCAGCACCCCACCCTGACTCACCCCTGGCCAGCTGCTTTTCTCAGACCGTGACCTGCACAGCTGTCCACAGCAGCCCTGTGCTGACTCTGAACCAAAGCGCCCTACTAAATGCTTTGCCTGGATTAGCGTTTAATCTGCCAACAACCCTGTCAGGTGGACTCACTAATTAGCCTCAGTATACAGGTGAGGAAAAGATGATTTCAGAAGTTTAGGCACCGAACCAGCAGGCAACCCAGGGGATACATGAACCCATGTCTCTCCGGTCCCAGCACCCATCGGCCCTAAGGCTTCTGCCCAACCCACCATCCCTTACCGCCTGCAGTTCCCTGTCCTGGAAGAGCCGGGGCAGAAGGCACCGCCTCAGAGGCACCGTAAGCAGCAGCAGGAAGGGAAAGGCGAGAGAGGCTGCCGTGGACTTGACCACCCAGAGCAATGCAATGCAGCCCAGCTGGATACAGGTGAACAGGTGCATCCGCCATGTCTTCACCTGGGGAACGGGCATCGGGCCGCACCATACAGCACCTGCCTCCATGCACCCCCTATGCCTCAAATTATCCTTCATAGTCAGCCCCTCCAACTCTGGCCCGGGGAACCCTCTGCACAGCACACTCCCACTGCACCACCTCCCCACCTCCATGCCCCGGCCCTACCTTGGTCACATAGGGCTGCTCAGGATGGTGCTTTGCCGGCATGAGGATGAGCAGCAGACGCTGGGACAGCTGGATCCCTGACAGTGACGTGACCCCCATGTACAGGAAAATCCCAAAGAGCACAGCCAACGGGATCCGGCGCAGCACAGCCCCCATGACGATGGACAGGCCTGTGAGGCAACACCACCCGACCTAGTCCCCGGGCACAGCCCTGCTCAGTGTGGCCCTCGTCATCAAGAGGGAGAGAAGACAGAGGACAGGGCAGGAATGGGCCCGAGAAAGGGGTAGGGGCACAGAGTCAGAAGCAGACCTGGGGTCAGGGCAAGGGCTGGACGCGAGACATTTGGTGGTTCAAGAGGTGCCTGCGTCAAGCCTGGGAGAGGGAGCCGGTTTCAAGCCAGTGGCCCCAGGCAGCAGGTCTAGGGGGAGTGAGTGTAAGGCCACAGGGATCCCAGGTGGTGGGTCTGGGGGCCAAGGCTCACCCACGAGACAGGCGATGAGCACCCCGGTGACCCGCTGCTCCCGCACCTCCTGGATCTGGGGCTTGTCGCCGGGGGCAATGGCAGTGCGCATCACGGTCAGTGCATTGACGTGGGTGACTGAGCGGACGGTGGCAGCTGTGAGCCAGGGCAGTCCAAACAGCCCACAGAGCCCACCCAGGGAACCGATTAGAAGCAGGTCCAGGTGGAAGCCGGAGCCTTTGAGCAGCCTCCGGGCCTTCTGGCTGACGATGAGCCTGCGTGAGAGGCCAGGAAGTGGGTGTCAGGGGCTGGCCAGGAGAGGAATGGGACAGTGGGGGGAAGATGTGCAGAGAACAATGTTCCCCAGGGACTGGGGACAGGCAAGCTTCCTCTATCAGTTTCTCAGATGTGAGAATGAAGTTCTCACATTGAAGCATAGTTGAGCCAGATTCCCACACTGAAGATCTAAAACACACAGAGCCAGCTGCCAGATAGCACACACCACTGAGGTTTAACCAAGATGAGACACTCGCAAGCATCTCTGGGTGACAGCGTGCTGTCAGGGTGTCTAAGAGCTGGAGAGTGTCTAAGAGTGGATGTCTAAGAGCTAGAGGGTGTCTAAGGTGTCTAAGAGCTGGAGAGTGGCCCCTACCCATGATGGATGTGACACACAGATGTCATCGAAGTATCACTGGAAGCCCCACAAGCACACGGACACCCTCCTTGTGGCAGATCCCTCTGCTCTCCACCCCTCCTCCACCTCTCCCATTCCCCGCCAGCTCCTGACACTCACGCTCCCTGCCTCAAGGTCTCCCACAAGCCCCCAACCACCCAGCGCCCCACACTGATAGTGATGTCCCTGCCTTAACCCTGAACCCAAGCCAAGCAGCCCAGCCCAGCCCAGCCGTCCCTGCACCCCCTCCAGGGCCCCGCCCTCACGCAGTGATCTGTGTCTCCATGAAGATGAGGATGAGGACCAGGAGGGCAGGGACAGCAGCCGCCACCATCATCCAGGGCGGGAAAGGCCGGGCACTGCCCAGGGGCGGGATGAACCACGTGCGCTTGTGGGGAGAAGTCACGGAGAGCCCCGTGGGCACCGTCAGCTTCTGAAGAGCAGGAAGGCAGACAGTTCAGGGGCACAGGAGACACCACCCAGCAGCTGCTCCCACTGAGCTCTGGGGCCCCAGCACCCCAATCCCGCCACTGATGCTTCTGGGAATTTGGGTGTGAACAGGTCTGGGGGAAATGAGCTTTGCCTCCTCCAATGGCCCAGCAGAAGACAGGGAAACAAAGTGCAGTCGATCCTCATTACTCCCAGATTTCATATCTGCCGATTCACCTACTTGCTAAAATTTATTTGCAAAACCAAAATCAATACTCACAGCATACCATTCACTGACACGTCCAGGGCAGTGAGAAATCTGAGTCCCCAGATACACAAGGCTGACTGGGCGTTTACTGACTCAGTGTCCATGGGGCTTTATAGAACCTAACTACCAGAGCCAAGGGCTTCAACTGGGCCTTCTCCCCAAGTCCCGAGCTGTCAGGGAACCTGTTGCAGGAACACTTGGCATTCTGCCCCAACCCTACCCTGCTCCTCCCACATTCTTTACAAAGGACCACACACAGGCCTACAGACGCTCAGGGAGCCTCCTCGGCCAGACCACACGGAGGGGAGGGGGTAGCTTCAGAAACCGCCCCCATCCGACCCCCACCCCTTGGAGCCCAAGCAGATATAGCCAAGTCACCACTGGGACTTGGCTTCCAGCCCTGATCTTGGCAATGGCCATGGCCATGGCCTCCCTCTCAGGGCCCAGGCTTAGCACCAGCAGCCAGGGGCTCAGGGCTCACTCACCTGCGTGTAGGTGTCTGTGATGGAGTAATCAACCAGGACCATCACCAGAATGGAGATGGGGATGCCGAAGTCCCCGATGATGCGGCGAGCCTGGAGGGGCCAGTCAGGGCAAGGGGAAGGTCTGGGTCAGGGTCAGGAGACAAGTCTGGAGCTTATTACCCTGATCCTCCTTGGGTCTGAGGTGGAGCCAGAAGGCCCCTCAGGTGCCAGCCCACCCAGGAGGGCACTCCTCTCCTGACTCAACTTCCCTGAGGCAGGAGCAAGGAGGCACCCTGGGAGAGGCCGCTGAGGGGTGGAGGCTGCACACTGGAGGTGGGTCCCAGGATTGACAGGGAGAAGGTGTCCAGCCCCGCTCTGGAAGGAGCCTGGAAGTGGCTGCAGGAATCATGGGGGACCCTGTGGGGCTCTGCAGCCCCACTCCAGCGGTCACGCACCTTGCCACCCAGGAAGCGGCTGTTCCTGAACTTCCGCAGGAAGAAGGCAATGAGGAAGGTCCCAAGCATGAGGATGAGGGACAGCAGAGCCGTGTTGGGCTGGTTCCTTGGGCCCGGCGGCCCCTCGGTTGGGGGCAGGGCGCTCGAGTTCAGGTCCAGGCTGGCCTCCAGCACCCTCTCCAGGGTCCCCTCAGGGGGGTAGAATGGCAGCAGTGGGTGCTCAGTGAACACCTGTATGGGCAACAAGGACACCCTGTTGCTTACCTGGCCAGGTGACCCTGATTTCATCAATACACCTTAGAGGGCAACGGCTGGACCTCACACCCCTGAGCTGGCAACAGTGACATATGGACATCCAGCAACATCACACACACACACACACACACACACGCAAGCGTTCATCCAGCCCCTTGGCGATGAGGGGGGCCTCCGTGCCACCACACGCCTGTGCAGGTGAATCCTCATTCCTGAGCCTCAACCACGTGTCTGGCACCTACACCCTGACACTCTGGGTCTGACTCCCCCACCTGCACTCAGACCTAGTCCACTGTTCATACCCAACTCCCTCATCATCCCACGTCCAACAGAGCCCCCTCATTAGCCCTCTGCCCCTAAAGCCCTCTCCTTCCCTGAGCTCTCCATCTGGACCTGTCTGGACCCCCACCTTGTAGAGCTTGTGGAAAGTCTCATAGATGAAAATGAGCGAGATGAGGAAGGCGAAGATCTCCTGGGTGAAAGGCGAGATGTAGCGGACCAGGAAGCTGCCTTCGGCGGCCACCAAGGCAATAACAAAGACCACCAGCCAGAGGCCAACCCACACGCGGCCAGTGAGGTACTCCAGGTCCTGGGCTCGGCAGAACTGGAGGCAGAAGGGAGGGTGGTCTGCCCTGGATGCTATGCCCCAAAACAGCTGGGGAGAAGGGAGATAGCAAGGGCGAGCCAGGGCCAGAGGGAAGGGGCAGTGGCCCTGGGGAGCCAGCAGGGGGCTGTCACCTTGAAGAATGCTTCTTCAAACACGAGCAGGGGCCCTGAGAAGCCAACCACGAGGAGAGGCTGGGCCCCCAGCAGTGAGAAGAGCACCCCCAGCACAGCCGTGGACACGATCAGCTCGGACACGCCCATCAGCCCTTCAGTCTTCTCTCCTGGACAGCAAGGGTCAGCGTTGGCCAGGTCTGGCTCTTCCTCCCTGCTCCCCATACTTCCTCCAGCCCCTCCTAAGCTGTGGCAGCCCCCTCAGAGCGGTAGACAAGGCCCCTCACCACTCTCATCCCTCCCAGCCCCTCCCCACCAGCTGCCCACCTCACCCACCCCTTCCACTCACACTTACTTTGCAGCCCTCCAGAGACCATCACTGGGATGCCCAGACCCAGTAGCTCCCAGAAGTGACCACGCCTCACCAATCAGCCCCTGAAGGTGATCACTGGACTCCCTCCCTTCTCCTAACCCCTCCTCCCTGGCCCTCAGCTCACAGCCCCCGGAAGGCGATCGCTGGGGTGACCACAGGGCCCTCCCTCACCTAACAGTCCCCCAAAAGTGATGGCGGGGCTGAGGGCAGCAAAGTAAATGAAGAGCACAGCAGCCACACACTGGGAGTGCAGAGCGTCCCGCAGGTCACTGGGGTAGTGGGGGTACCGGCGCTTCACGTCCCGCACAAGCCCCCCAAACACTGAGCCGGTCCGTAGCAGGGGGTCATCTTCAGGGCTCATCTCAGAGCCCCCCAACTCCACAGACAGCTCTAGGGAGCAACAGGGTGCTGGAACACAAGGTACCACCCTCCAGTCTGGAGGTCCGAGCCCCAGACCCAACCCTTCACAGGCTGGCATGGGTGGAGATGCCAGGTCAGGGTTCGAATGGCATCAGGCAGGGGCTCTGGGGGTCAGACCTTTCCCGGGGGCTGCGCAGCTGCCCTGAATGGTCATCTCCACCTTGGTCTGCTCCCGCTCCCTCCGTTTCCTCAGCAGCTCGCGCTGGAAGGCGGCCACAGAGCGCAGCAGGTCACGGCCCTCCACCTCGGATGGCGGGATCACAATGCTGCCGTCCAGGAACTCACTGATGGCACTCAGGAGGTCCTGCCGGTCATCCGCCTGGTAGGCCGCCTCGTGGAACAGCTGGGGGCAGGAGGGCCACGAAGTCTCAGGGTGGGTGGAGGAGCAGGGGGCTAGGGTGGGCAAGGGACCTCTTGGGCAAAGACAGGGTCCTACTAGGTGTCACAGAGCTAGAGGCAGGATAGATGCTCGGCCACAGGCACCCATCAGGCCAGCTGGACACATGTTCTGCTGGCTGGCAACAGCCACTGCCTTGGACACCCCAAGGGCCCTAGGAGATTCCATATCTCCCAATCTCCCCCAGGAGATTCCATATTTTTCTATGACTCAGCAACTGAAAGAGTAATGGCCTAGCATTGCTAGGGCCTCCAGACCATTCTGGTTGGATGGCAGCCACATCCTTTTGGTTAATAAACATTCTGAATATCCACCCTGGCTGAAGGACCCTCTTGTCCAAGCCCAGGAGGAGCCACAGCCAGCCCTCCCGGTAAGTCTCCTGTCACATCCAAAGCTTCAGGGCCTGGGCTTCTGCCCCTGCATCCATCACACCCATCTATAGCCCCAGCCCGAGACTCCCTTTCTCTCTTGGCCAGCAGCTCCCCTACCACCCTCCAGAGAACTGTCTCCACCCAGAAGGGGCCGCTACCAGCCCTGCATCCATGGGCACCACTGTGGGCAACAGGAGGGCTAGGGAGCAAGCAGCATCGGGGAGCCAGGCCCAGAAAGCGCAACCCGGGGGGCTCCAGGCTCACCTTGTCAGACATGAGAGTGGCAATGGAGCGCCCCAGCTCATGATAGTCGGTACTGGTGTGGCTGGGCCCCAGCATGACAAAGAGGAAGCGGACCGGCACGGGGACCTCCAGCACAGACTCCAAAAGCACGGCCTCGCTCAGCCGCACAAAGGCTGCCGCTGGCTGCTCCAAGAAAGGCACACAGCCTGGGAGAGAAAAGGGCACAGGGCTGGGCAGAGGACCCTGGGGGAGGCCGGCGGGGCAGGACACACACCGCACAAAGAAGCCCCCACCAAAAGCGGCCCTACTCACTTATGGATGCGTTTGCATGTCTATGACAAGCTACCAACAGAAGGAAGGTACTACATGGCGGCCTAGCAGCAGTCTGAGATAGCAGGAAACTGGACGGAAAGCAGGACCGGGGAACAAAGGGCTGGGCGAAGGCAGGTTTTGAGGAAAAGCAAGGGTGAAGGGCGGGTGGAAGAGGCAGCCTCCAGGCCAGAACTCAAGACAAGCAGGCCCCAAGAAGGCCTGCCACCCTGCTGCCCCTGTCCCTGGTGCCCAGCCCTCCTCACCCACGAGCACCACTGTGGCCTCGGCATCTTCAGGGATCTTCTCCAGAAGCTTCAGGCTTTTCCCCCGGTGACTGTCTCCCCCAGGCAGGTGGAGGGGCTTCTGAGGACGCAGAACTGGAATAGGGCTGGGAGCCAGACCGAAGCCCGTGGCAGGCCCTCCCACCCATGCTCCAGCCCAGGGCTCTGCCCTCCAACCCCTGGACCTGGACCCTGCTTTCTCTCTCCCAGCCAGGCAGGGCCTGCTCAGGCTCTGGACCCTACTCTAAGTCTTGTCCTATTGGTTAAATGGTACCATGAGTCGGCCAGAACATCCCACTTAAGCCTCTGCTGCTTCAGAGCAGGGATCCCTCGGGCTTGGCTCCTCAAGCCCCCTCCCCCACACCCCTCCCCACATGCTCAGCATGGTGCCAGGCATCCACCATCCCAACCCACAACCTCCACTGAAACTGAAGCCCCACCGGTGCCCAAGCCAGGGCAAAGCAAGGTGACTAACCTCCTTGGCATCAGGGTCATGAGGCCAGAGTGGGGCAGGCTCCCCAAGGTCATCAGCCATGGTGGGAACTGCACCGTCAGGGCCATGGCTGGGTGTCGGGTGATGGTTCCCCAAGACCGAGTTCACGCTGGAACTCGACGGGTTTCGGGGAAAGAAGCCACTGTCCTTGTCATCATTGGGGTGGCTGGTGGGAGAGGAATGGTGGGCCAGGATGAGGGTCAGGCCCCCCTTCTTGAGTGTCAGTGTAACATGTAATGGCTGGTGCCAGCTCAGGACTAAAGTGTGAGACGTGGGCAACTCTGAGCTCCCGAAGGGCAGCTGAACTAGGCTCCCTGCCCCAAGGTCCTGGCCCCCAGCACCTGTGTTTCAACAGCAGGGTACGGAGGATGCTGGCCCTGTCTTCTGGCCGGATCTGGTCAGACACGATCATGGTCTCCACCACTAGGTGCGCAATACCCGGCAAGGTGGTCTGCTCCAGGTCCAGGAGAGCGGCTCCTGGGCATAGTCAGGGGAGGGGCACAGCCATGTCAGACAGAAAAAACCATCCCTCCACTGCCTTCTCCCCAAGGACGGGTACACATGCCAAACGAGCAACGAATCCAACAGCCCAGGTGGCCACTAGGTCCACTCACCACACGCCAGCCAGAGAGAGACTGAGACAGAGAAGAGTGCTGGGAGCATAGGCCCCTCCTCACCCAGGAAGGGGAGGGCACTGGTTCTTTGTGCACCTACTGTGTGCCAGGTGCAGTACTCGTTCCTGTGGCCCAGGCCTGCCCCTCAGAGCTTGCAGGCTGCTAGGGAAGTCAGACTCCATGTCTCCTCACTAGGCCCAGGATTCCAGGGAGCAGTGAAGAGGGCATGCAGCCCCCAGGCCTGCAAGGTCCCTACCGTGGGCAATGGTCCTCCTAAGCTCTAGCAGGCTGCGGAAAGAGAGTGAGGCGACGTGGGGCTTGCCCCAGCGCTCTGTCTCCTCCTCCACGTCCTCCTCAAACTTGATCCAGCGGGCCGTCTCCCGCCAGTGAGGCTCCTGGCCGCGGTCCATCATCAGCTCGTTCAGCTCCACAAACACCTGGGGTGGGCACCAAGGGTGAGGCCTGGGGCTGTGAGGTGGGAGAGGCTGGCGTGACGACCCCCAGAGAAGGAGAGAGAAAGGAAAGGAGGGTTCCAGCGTGGAGAGGCGAGAGGAAGCGAGGGCCCAGCCACTCAGGGTCTGGTACCTCGTGTGGCCTCCGGTCCAGCTTCTTCTTCTTCTTCTTCCTGCGCAGGATGGGGGCCAGGCCACTGGGGCTGCTCCTCCCGCCCTGCGTCCTGGACGGCTTCTTCACAAGGTGCCGCCGCACCCCAGGGTTGTCCTCCAGCCGGTGACCTACAGACAAGGTCAGCTTGGTGACCCCAGAGGTGCAGCTCAGGGCCTTGGGGTCATGGCCCAGCCGCTCCAGGCCCCTGCTCTGCCCACCTGGCAGGGGTCATGTTGATAAGACCATATTATTCAACAAGGCTGTTGCATAGATGAAAAAACTGAGGCCCAGAAAGAGGAAAAGACCAGCCCAAAGTCACAGAGCAAACCACTGGCCAACCTCAATAAAAAGGCAGACCCCCAACCCAGTCCCCTGCCATAGCCACTGTCCCTCATTCTGGGATCCTTGGCCTAGAGCCCCTGCCCTCAACTGTCCCTGTGACCTGCCTCTGCACCCACATCTCCACCCCACTGACACAACCAGGTACACTCAGGCAGAGGCTCTCCCCTTCCTCCCCACCTGCCCTTCCCAGGCTGGCAGCTGGGGGACAGGCCAGCAGCCCAGGTACTCACAAGCTAGTCCCCCTGCCATGGGGCTCAGCTGGCCCCGGATGGACTCCCACAGGTCATAATCCTCAAAGTCCAGCACAAACATCTCTAAGTCCTCTGAGGCCATCGAGTCGTGAGGGCTGGGGGTGGGAGCCCTCCGAGGGCCCAGGCCCACAGTGTCCCCAGGTCCAGGGCTCACAGCCCCATTGGGCTCGGTGACATTCTCTCGCAGGCTCGTCATGCCCTGCTCCTTCCCAAAGCCCCAGCTCTCCTAGAGGGGGAGCCTAGACAGAACTGGGCTTTGTCTAACAAGAGCTGGAGGTGGCAAGGGCACCCGACCCCAACTCCCCACGGCCCCAAGCCTGCTCCCTACTGCTTCCAGCCCCTACCCTGGCTCTGTAAACACACCCTCCCCCTGACACCCCCAACCCCCACCTCGCAGCCACTGCTGCTGCTGCCATCGGATTGTTCCTGTCCCTGTCCTCAGGCCCTGGCAACTTTCCATGACGTACTAAGCTCAAAGCCCTCCCGCCTCACCCACACACTGTGGTTCCAAGGGGGAGGAGGGCGGGGTCAGTGATGCCCCTGGCCTGGGCACAGTGCCCCATGGGTGATGACAGGTGGCACAGAAACCAGGACACTGATAAGATGGAAGGAATGTGCCGAGATCACAGCCAGGCCTGGCCAAGGATGGTGGGATGGGTGAGGAGCCTTGACATAGGCCACAGAGACTATAGGGAACAGGGCCTGGCAGAGTGGCTCAGCCCAGAGGGCTGTCCTGAAAAGGATTAAAAGAGCCAAGGGTGTTTGCCCTGAGAAGAGAAGCCGTATGGGGGGAGAGGACAAAGACGTCTCCAAACATCACATGAAGAGGGGACAGCTGTATTCCAGGGGTAACTCAGAGGACAGAATCAAGATCAAAGGGCAGAGGTGTTGAGAAGGGAAATTTCAGCTCTGGCATCAGAGGGATAACTTGGTGAGGTAGCGAGCTCCCCATCACTGGCCACATTCCAGAAGACAGGGACACTGCAGAGGGGACTCAACACTGGATGAGGGCCAGCACAGAGCCTCGCAGAGATCCCCAACAGGCTGAGGACTGTGGGGTGGCTGGGGGCTGGCCGCAGGGTCTCACTCACTCTTCATGTCGTCCAGGTCTGCAGAGCCCAGCATCTGGGCCTCAGCCTCATCAGTGGGCACCTGCTGCTCCGGGCCACCCAGACTGCCCAGGGCACTGCCTGGGCACAGCCGCTCCCTGAGGTCATAGCTGGCCGATGGGCTCCAAGGTCGGCTCTTCTCCCCAGCCACTCGGGAGGCCCGGGCCCTGGGGCTGGGGGAGCTGAAGAGGCAACATGGCAGCCTTGGGCATCACAGAAAATCATGGTGGAGATGGCCCAGGGCAGGTTAGGGGTTGGCCAGGCCCTGGGCCTTGAGAGCCCCTGACTCGCCTCCAGCTCAGGTGGGGCCCAAAGTGGCCATTGGGCACAGACACAGGCACTCTTGGACAGAAAAGGACACTGCATGAGCCTTCCTCTCCTCACAATGTCTGTTCCTCCTCCCCAGTCCTTCCTCTTCCTGCACCATCCTCCTCCTCCACTCTGCCACCTCTCCCTCTTTCCTGGAGAACCTGCCCTCTCTTCTCTGCTCCCTTCTCCTTCTCTCCCTCTGGTCCTCTCCTTCTGGACAGCAAGGGAAGGCCCTCCCCTTCTGCCTCCTCTGCCCCGTCTCCTCTCCTCTCTGGGGTCAGAGCTGGGGGCCCAAGGCCAAGAAGGAGGTGAAGGTCGGGACCTTTGGACCGGACTGCTCTGGGCTGGGTCCCCCTGAGATGAGGGGGAGAGGGCAGTACCTGCCCGAGTGCTGGGGGCTCTTGTCGGCACGAAGACCCACTGAGGGCAGGGGCCTAGCAGAGGCAGCCCTTCCCAGGAGGCCAGGGCTATCATCCTCGTCACTTCCGATGGAAAACTGCAGACAAACAAAAGGTCACCTGGGCCCCTGCCACAACCACCCACTCAGCCTCCCACAGGCCCCTCCACCCTGTCCTCCCCATCTCTGTGCCCCTCCCTGAGCAGCCCTCCCCTCCTCCAAGGGGTAGCCCCCCCTACCTTGGCCTTCTGTGGGGATGCAGAGGGCAGGGCCTCCGAAGGTTCTGCTTCGGACTCCCCTTCCTCCTCTTCTTCCTCCTCCTCCTCCACCCCACCTCCCCCCTCCTCCTGGATGGGAGGGGTCCCCTCGGAGGGGGGTGCCGAGGTTTTCTCCTTCTTCCTCTTCCTCCTGGTGTGCCGGGCAGAGGTGGGGGGCGGTCGCCAAAGCTTGTGGGGTGGAGGCAGGCGCGCAGAGAGCGGATGGTGGGTGTGATGGGATGTGTGCCGGTGAACTAGGGGTGCAGGAGAGCAGGTTGGGGCCCCGTCATAGACCGGGCCCCTCACCACCCTAGGGGCACACACCTGATTCTAGCTCAAGGCCTCAAAGGGCACCCTAGTCCTTCCTCCAATGTCAGGCTCCCCCCAACATCTGTGTCCATGTGCCTGAACATGGTAGGCAAGGCCTGGGTGAGTGGGGGACAGGAGTGATAGGGAGGGTCGTGAGGGGGTGGGGAGAATAGGAGGGCATGATACTTCACAGAGAGGGACTGAAGGGCAGACAGAGAGTGGGGCCAGGGGTGAGGCAGAGCCAAGGGGAAGGGGAAGGTCAGAAGGGAGGCTAGTCCAGGTCCCTATGTCTCCCCTGTGTCTGGGCCCTGCTCCCCCTGCAGCAAACAGGTGATGGGTGAGTGAGGCAGGATGGCGGCATGGTGGCCCAGCACACAGTCCAGCACAGCGCCAGCACAGGACGGCGCTTGGTGGCCAAGCCGTGGTGAGTGGTGATGGTGGCGATGAAGGTGATGGTGGTGAAGGTGATGGCAGTGGGGGCCGGCTGCACTGGGGGTCCCCAAGCTACCCACACTCAAAGTCCCGCTCGCTGTAGCTGCGGCTGGGCTTCTCGGGGTCCCAGGCCGGGGGCTTGCTGATGAGGTCCCCAAACCTGCTCACAGCCAAGGTCTTGCCCAAGTCATCATCCTCTTCCTCTGTGTCTGGACCCAGAGGGGGCTCTTCCAAGGGCACCCGGACCTGCAGGCCCAGCCTCTTCTAAGGCCCTGTCCCACGAATTCTACCCCAATGCTGAGCCCTGGTTGGGGGCGAGGGTGGCCAGCACGCTCCTGCCTTTAACAGCCCCCTTCTCTATGAACCCCAAGACGGATTCAGCATCCCAGAACCCACACCCTTTCAGGATCCCAGAGCTTGGGAGGAGTGGGGACAGATCCGAAAAACACCCAAAGCACCCTCTTCCTCCATCCTCCTCGGGGTCGGCCAGAGGACATCCCTCCCCTTCGCGGAGCCCCTCCCCCTTTCCCTCCCCTCCCCCCGCGCGTCCGTCACCTGGGGCAGGGGGGAGGCGCCCCCGGGCGGCGGGATGACTCCGTTGGCCATGGCCGGGGCGGCGGCCGGGGAGGCTCTCGCTCACTTAGGGACCCGTGACCCGGGAGAGAAGAAGAGGGCGCTGCGGGGGCCTAGGAGGGCGCCCTGGGAGAAAAAGGCGGGGTCAGGGTCCGCGCGGTGCCTCCCCGCTCCTTCTCCTCCCGGGCCCCTTCCCCATCCGGCCCGCCTTTGGTACCTCGGGGCTCGGGAGCTGGCGGGGCCCGGGCGAGCCGCCGCGCCCCATCCCCTCCCGCGCTCGCTCCGGGCGCGGCAGCCGGGCTTCCGCTCCGCCTCTTGCGCGCAGCGGGTGGACGGGGAGCCTGCGGCCGCGGCGCACAGCCGGCCGGGCGGACGCAGGCGCCGGAGCCCGCACCCGCGACTCCACCTCCTCGCGCGCCGCTCCGCAGCTCCGCCGCCGCTGCCGCCGGCCGCACAATGGGAGCGGGCGGGCAGTGACTCACCCCGCCCCAGCCAGCCTTGCCCCAACACGTAGCCCCCGCGGGACCCCACCGCCCACCAGCCCCTTTCTCCGGGCACCCCGCGCAGTGCTGGAGGCACTACACTGATTCCCACAGCCCCAAAATTCACCCCCACCTTGCTTTTAGCCACCCCACCGCTTGACACCCTGAAGGAAGCCCCCCCCCCACCATCCCTTTCAGTGCCAAGTCAGCCTAACGCCCCTCAAAGGCCTGCCTTCTGCCTCCTGGCACCACCCAGAATTTGACCTTGGCAAATTATCTCCCTTCCCTGGCCCTCAGTTTCCCTGTCTGTAGCCAGAGGGGCCAGGAAGAAGTGTGGTCCAAAGTTCTATCCAGGATTCTGTGGCTCTGTTTCCCTATTTCCTCTCCCCCAGCCCCACCCCGAGGTCCCATCCCCTTTTCCAAGGGCAAAGGTCTTTGGAAGGCTCCACCTGGCCCAACTTCACCCTTGAGGGGTCTCCCTGAAATTGGGCACCTAGCACCACACCATGCCTATCACAGCCCCTCAGAAACATGGGTTGAACTCTGGTACCTGAATCCTGAGGACAAACAGACAGGACAAGGGGAAGAACTGGGCCTAGAGCTAAAGGGGAGAAGGTAGAACTGGCCAGACCCAGGAGAGTAGGGGGACAAATGCCTGAGGTCTGCAAGAGGAAAGGGCACTGGGCGTCACTGTGCTGTACGGAATAAAGGATTAACCCCGCGACCTTGGGCATGTAATTCACCCTCTCTGGCCCCTACCCTTTTCTGCATCTCAGCTCCACCCAAGGAGAGGTTTCTCCACTGAGTCATACAGGGGGCAAAGGGGAAAGAGTTCATATTTGTTGGGTACCCACTTTGCTTTGTGTCACGGCCCTATGCTAGACCCTCCCCACACTCTGTTTCTTCTTAGCCTTACTATAACCCCAGGAGGGGAACTATTAGTATTTTCACTGCAGCTTGACATCAAGATCCAGGGTGGCACTTTAGCCTGCCATGATCACAGCTGGGAAACAAGCTACCAGATTTGGGCATCACCGGTGAGCGGCAGAGCCAGGACTACCTGACTGCTCCAGGATGCTTTCACTCAGAGAGCTGTGCTTGACCTCCCAACCTCACGGGAGCTTGATAGGGTGAAAGCAGAGGGCAGAGTGTGAGGGCTGGGTCAGCTGTGGTATAGAAAGTGTGGGTGAGGTGTGCCCCAATGCAGAATAGGAGAACCATCTCATCCTTTATCCTCCGAGCCAAGTAACTTGGCTCCCAGTCTCTACCTTCAGTGTTGTTTTAGGAGGTCCTTTGCTTCCTTAGAGATACACAAGAGCCTTGGAGCCTTCTCCAGTCGAACATTCTGGGAGAACACTCTGGTCTTCGTTCACCCTCAACACTTGGGCCCTGTTCATGGTCCCAGCTCCTGTCTCCTAGCCTATAAAGTTGGACAGCAGCTACCTGAATACCAAGGCAGCCCGAGGAGGGGGTTACCAACCTGAGATCCTGGTGCACTAGGCCCTGTACACCTTGTACACTGTGATGTCATGAGGGTACCACACGGCTTGTTCCTCTGAGGCCCCGCCACGCCTCAGGGAGGATGCTGGGCACAAGATAGTCATCTTTTTCTGGCGCCCTCAGACTCTTCCTCTTCCCAAGCTTGTGAACCTCCCCTACCCACTTACCCACCCGAGTCAGCAGCTTTGACCTCTACTCTTGCAAGCATCATCCTCTGTCCCCTATCCCTCCAGGCTGATGGAGTAAAATCTTTTGAAAGGGCCTGTAGTCACCCATATTCATCTCCTTCCAGGGTGTGGGTGGAGAAGGAGATGCTGACACTCACCAATTATTTCATACTAGCTCATCCGATTAGACATAAACGTATACTTCCATATTCCCACTCAGATCTCCTGGCCTCCTAGAGGCTGTTCCACTGTGTCCTGCCTCCAGCTTACCTGTAATTGTCAGTCCCCTACAGTGTGTTCCCTGATGGGGCCTTCATTCCTGTGACAACAGAGCGCTCATTACATGCACAAAAAAATGACCACTGAGTGCATGTGGTCTCTGTGTGTGGGAGAGAGAAAGATTGTCCTGTCAGCCCCCAGCTCAAAACCTATAGAGGCTCAAATGGTGACAAGAAAGGTGACAGCCAAGGCAGGAGCCAGGAACAGGCAAGCTCAGAGCAGTATCCACCCTTTCACACCCTCCTCTGCAGACCAGTCTGCCCTGAACTTGCTCACCCCCATGTGCTGAGACCCAGGAAGCATGGCTGGGACGTGTAACCCCACCAAAGCCTATCCCATAGTCCCAGGGCGGAGGGACCACACACACCACCCAGACTGGGAGACATGGCACATCACTCTCTGGATTCCTCACAAATGGATCAGAAGTCCCCTTAAGGGGGTTCTCATGACCATCCCCAAGAATCATTGTCTGTAGGTCCAACATGTTGGGAACTAGACTGGTATAATGGATATTTGTCACAGGTGGCCACCCAAATCTTTGGAAACTCTCTCCACATTTTGGTCATATTCCACACTTTGAATCCTGTCTTTCCAAGTGGAAGCCAGACAACTCACAACTCACGTGCCCAGACTCCCTTGCAGCTAGGGTACAGACACAGGACCTAGGTGTGACCCATCAAATGTACCTGCACAAGCCCTAGATTCAAAAGTGTGCAATTTGCACAGGGCATAGTGGGAGAGCCACGTGGCTCTCCTGCAGGTGGCAGTGACAGAGGTCTTGATGCCCAATCATAGTACTGTTTCTGCTAGAGGTCTTATCACATAGCTGGTCATTATTCCTAACTCTAGTTCTTCCTTAAAGACCATCTAATATTTATCCTTTCCTGTAACAAATTCCTTTCCAGCTTAAAGTATCTGTCCTTTGCAAGTAGGAGTCCTAATAGAATCAGGAAGTGGGCTGAGTTCAGGGTCCAGCCAAAGAGGCACCAGGTATTAGTGGTACTGACATCAGGGAGCTGGCAGAGCAGATGTGAGAGAGTGACCATCTTATTAACAGGCCTGGGTAGCCCCTGCCTCTTAGGATTTCCATGTCGTTCCTCATCAGTCTTAACACAACAATGATAACCTCCTTACCTTCAATATGGGCAATGCTTCCAGTTTACAGGCTACTTTATACACATATTCCCATGGCTCTTCCCAACAGTGTCCTACAGTAGAGTATCTTAATCCCACTCAACAGGTGAGAAAACTGAGGCTCAGAACATTTAAGCAACTTGCCCAAGATCCACAGCTAGTTGGCATCACAGCCAAGACATGAAGCCAGCATCTTCTGGCTTCATGTCTAACATCTATGCCTGTACACCTCAGCACCCACCACGTACATAAGCTGAAATGTACCACTACCTGCCCAGGTGAATTTTCTAAGGAGACTGCATCTTTGCTGTGGAAGAGGTCTGTGGGAGTGAGACCTGAGCAGTCATGGGGCCTGGGTTCTAGTCCAGCACTGCAAATGATCATCACAAGACCTTGAGCAAGTTACCCACCTTCTCTGGGCCCCTGAGGCCCCATCTGTAAAACAGAGATCATCACGGGGTTGTGGAGAGAATGAAGTTATTTCATGCACGTAAGGCACTTAGAACAATGTCTGGCACATAGTAAGTGCTCAGTTAATCTTAGCCATTTTCAATATTATGACAAATCACCGAACAGACACAAGCACCTTCAGAGATCTTGCAATATGAAATGTGATGAAGATGTAGGCTCATGAGATAAGTGCAAGGTTGTTTTGAAAATGTTGCAAAGGATACTAAGTGTAAGAGCCACCCTGAATGGTGCCAACCATGCACACTCACAGAAGGCAGAGGGATCCTGAATGGATTTCACCTCCGCTGGGATAGCTTCTGACAGACCTTGGCCAAGGGGCCAGTCTCTGCATTTGGAATCCTAAGTTAGCAGGCTGAAAAGTTTCTGGAGGAGGGTAGGGTTGTCCCTTGGACTGGTCTGGAATTCTCTATTAGCAGGAGTTACTTCCTCCCTGTTTCCCAAGAGCAGAGCACCCAGGGCCATTTGCTGTTGACTGGCCTTGTGATGAGTAAGGCCTTATTTTTTACAAGAGGTAACATGGCATAGGGAAGGAGCCCAGACTCTGCAGTTAGAAATGCTATATATAAAAAGCTAGTTCAATGCTTGGCACAGAATAGGAGCTCGATAAATGTCATCTTTATTTACTATTGTTATTCTGCAGTGGTTTATCCCATCATAATCTACACGTGTCCCTTGGTAAACTTGGACTTGGCTTTAAATCAAATTCAGTATCAGACAGTACCACCTGTCCCTGAAGGTGTTCTCACTCTGACAGTACCCACCTTTCAGCTCCAGACTTACTGATTCATTGGTGGCTAAGATGATAATTTGAGATATGCATCTATGTCCTTCACTCTTTCTCCCCTGCTCTCCCACTCCCTCAAGCAGGAAGCCTGCTTTGAACTTGGCTGTTTTAGGGGAATGGGTAGGATGGAAAGCAAAATAGTCCACCAGCCTTTTTGCCTTCTGTTTACCTTAGGAAATCTAGAGAGGTCTGAAGCAGAAGGTTAGCAATAGGTAGACCAAGGGTCTTAGGCAGAAGCCGAGGGGAGGGGGAAGGAGCAGACCCTGTACCCTCCCCTATCAGCAAAGCAGAAAGAGGTGCCTCCAGGATGGAGCAGAGAGGGAGAGAATGAGGTTGGAGAGTCCTGCCAACCCCATAGCAAGGAGGCTGGAAATAAAAGTTAGGCTGCTTTGAGAATGTAGCAGTTACATTTCACGAATACCCAAATGTGTAAAATGAGACTCACTCTATATCTTTGCTAGTTGTTGGTCTACACTGGTGAAACAACTGACGTGGTTCCTGCCCTTGA